TACAGCAGAGTGATTTTGCATAGTACTTAAGCACCTGAGAACATGTGCCAGTGCTGAAATGGAAAGCACACGTGCATTGTGCTTCCTGCATCCCCGCTCACAGTATAATATGCCAAGGGAGAAGTTTCTTCTTCATAGATAGGGTTGCGTCAGGTACTCACGGGACAGATAGTGAAACTTGCCCCATTCATGCTTCCCTTCCAGTGTCAAAATGACTCACTCACACTTTCCATTTTTGCTCCCATGTTGCGTGTGAAACTGGTCTCTCTTTACTGCTATTAAGAGCAAGTTTTTAAATAGTTCTGGCTGGCCCGATGGACTGCAGGCAAGGTCTATGGTAATGCTGACACCAGGGATGAACTGCTTAAGGAATTTTGTCTGTCCTTTTTTTTTTTTTTAATAGCCAACTATACTCCGCAATGTTCTGTGGATGATCTCAGTGAGGGAACATGGTACTTGGTGCAAGTGGATGAAAAACACAGAAGAACATACGCTCGCCGCCCCTTTCTGGGTGATGGGCCATTGGAAGCAGGAGTTGAAGTTGTTCATCTGGGCCTTGCTCATGAGGTAAGTCTAATCCTCTGTTTTTAAATTCCATGATCAGGTGCACATCTAACAGAGCTGATAGTAAACCTGCTCCTGATTTCACCACCATCTTCCCCTCCCTCCCCCACTAACTGCTTTGAAAGTACCAGAAGGGAGGATTTCTGTAACCAGATACGCAGCTGAGCTAGTGTGGCTTAGTACAGTAAAAGCTTTGTTTGCCACTTGAGTATCCAGAATACTCAGAAGACAGGCTCCTCCCCCTCAGCCACCATACCCCTGTCTCTGGCATGTGTTTCCTGCCTCTTTAGCCAAGCAGCTCGTTGTCACTGGACTTTGGACAGCCGGTGCTGCTGGCTGACATCCTCCTCTGATGTCACTTCCCTCCTCAACCTGCCTTGAGTGGTCGGGAGTCAGCTTTGCTGGGTAACTCCCAGGCAGCCTGCTGCCTAGGATAAGTGTGGCTCGGGGGGAAGAGTCTCGCCGGGTGTGGGGCTATCACCATTGCATTCTCAAAGGAGTGGGGTTTAGAATCATAGAGTTGGAAGGGACCTCCAGGGCCATCTCGTCCAACCCCCTGCACAAGGCAGGAAATTCACAAATACCTCCCCCCCCCCACACACACACACCCAGTGACCGCTGTTCCATGCCCAGAAGATGAATAAAAACCTCCAGGATCCCTGGCCAAACCGGCCTGGAGGAAAATTGCCTCCTGACCCCGAAGTGACAATCAGCATCGCCATCCAGCCTCTGTTTGAAAACCTCCAAAGAAGGCAAGCCCACCACCTCCCGAGGAAGCCTGTTCCACAGAGGAACCGCCCTAGCTGTCAGGAAGTTCTTCCTAATGTTTAGCTGAACACTCTTCTGATTTAATTTCAACCCACTGGTTCTGGTCCCAACCTTCTAGGGCAACAGAAAACAACTCCACACCATCCTCTATAGGACAGCCCTTCAAGTACTTGAAGAGGGTTATCATATCACCTCTCAGTCGTCTCCTCTCCAGGCTAAACATACCCAGCTCCTTCAGCCTTTCCTCACAGGACTTGGTCTCCAGACCCCTCACCCTCTTTGTTTGGTCACTGTGGCTTCCTTGGGGTAGGGCAGAGTGATAAGCTTAAATAACTGGCACGTTTGATTCACTGGTAACCCTCATTCCCTATGAAGGCCAGATAACAAAACTTTTACTGTAATCAGGGTCTAAGAAGGCCACGGTTCAAATCCTCACTCTTGGGCCGGTTAGCGTGATCTAAATCATGGGGTTGTAGTGAGCATGAAGTGGAAGGCGACCGTGAATGCTGCCCATCTCATGAGATCATGCTGCTGTTCTCAGACAGTTCCACACGTCCATATAGTCTGTGTCCAACACTGAACATTTCCCGAAGATCGATTGGCATTGTCTCTGTTGTTAATGCGGTGTAGATTCCAACAGCAAAGTTGTCTGGGGTTTTCCTTGTTGCCTGCTTGTGTAAGAAAACCCTAAGGAGAGGAACTGGCAATTCTGCTTGAAATCGTGTGTTCTAATCCGTGGCTTCTTTTCAATTCCTCCTTTAGCATATCCCAAGCCCTGCCAAGAAGGTGCCAAGGATCCCTGGAAAAACAGACTCTGAAGTAGTTGCTGTTTCCCTTTCCAATGGGGAGCATTAAGATACCTCTGTGAGGTGGGAGTTGGGGAAAAAAGATTAACGAGGGGTGGGGAACGTACAAGGGATTAACTGTCGTTACTCATATTCTGCTGTACAGTACTGCTTAGTTGGAGCATGAAAAAAAATCAATCTCGAGGCCCTCTCTTAATGACGCGGTTTGCTGACGCATATTGTTTCATAACACTAAAAAAAATTGGCAAGGTTTTTAGAAAAGAAAGGACCAAAGGCTGTTTCTGAGGATTATTGGTTTTAAAAATATTGGTCGGAATAGGTACTTTTAATTTAGGCTCAGGAAAAAAAGGAAAAAAAGACACCACCAGTTGTGCTTCTCCTGCCTCTTGTTTTTAATAAATCTCTGCAAATTTTGTAAAATACGCCTCCAGGGAGGAACCGAGTCTTTTAAAAAGCCATTGTTGAGAAAAATTAACCTGACCTAAAGCCATTTGTGAGACTTTTTACGAAATCTTAAAAGTTAGGGGCGTTGCGTGCCTTAACGGTGTAAGCACCCAGTCTCTTAAATGCAAGCGTTGTTCCACTCCTTCAAATGGCTCATGGTTTTGAAGGGTAGAGGGAACAACTGGCTTGTTTTTCAAGGTGCTGTTAATTGGAGAGACCTTTCCCAATTGCCATTATTGGTACAGCCCTTATCGGAAAGCTGGAGGTCTGAGATTTAACTGATTTTTATTTGGTTTTCAACTGTGTGCCCTCATCCTAGCAACTACCTTTCCTTCTGCACTGTATTTATTTGCTGTGCTGGCTAAGCTAAGGAATACACACACACACTTTGGGGCAAACAGTTCCTTTTCCCCTAGAACTGCTCATGGCAGACTATTGAAACGGTGACGCTCTCTTGCCTCTTAGGAGGAACTGTGGCAAGCTAGCGAACTCTGAACTTCACATGTAATCTTTTATAAAGGTTACTCGAGAGCTCGCTTTCTAAACTTGGCCTTTCAAATGATACAAAGAGTTTGTCGAAACTTCCATCCCAAGAACAGTTCTTGTTCACCTTGGAACTTCTTGCTCCTCGAGCCTGTCCTTCTGTATGTGGTGGGATCCTATTGCAATAGTTGTGATTCTGAACTCCTGTACATAGCTTCATGCTTCAGGCTCCCTATTTAAAACATCCTAAGCCTCTGCAGGAGCATGGGGAGATACCATTCTCAGAATGCTTATTGCAGGGCAGGCCTCTATAGCCTGTGACCCTCCAAACCAAACTGCAGCCAACCAGCTATGTACGGTGGCCAGCCAGGGACTTGATAAGCCTCTGTTAGCTACCAGTAGTAGAGCCCTTGTTGGGGCTGCATTTGGCAGCGTGATCTCATGAGATGGTCAGAAGTTGTGTAGGACCTTTCTTGAGAATGATTCTCTTGTCTGACTCTGAAGTCTGTCAGCAGAAGTGCTGTGATCAGTGCAATTTGAACACCGTTCAAGGAACAAGTGTGGTATACAGAAGCTCCCTGGGAGTGACCGGTGAGCAAGTTGGGGGTCAGCTTGGATGAACACTGGAATCAAAGGAGGGGAAAGCGCCTGGCTTGTAAAATACATTGCATTTACATTTACGCTTACTCAGTTTTGTCTTTGTTTTTATTTTCCTGTGAAATTCATCCAAAAGAGCTTTGTCTAAAAAGAAAAGAAAAGAAAGGCTTACAGAGTTAGTGCGTCTCGTGCTAAGTTACAAGATGCAGGGTTTGGGTGTAATGTAGTATCTCGTTTTCTTTTTTTAAAAAAAGGCTGTCACTGACTAAAATGGAATAATGGACATCTGTACAGCGTGTTTAGATGAAATGTTTTGACCTAACGTGACTTGAGAAAAGCGGTCTGAAGTGCTGTGGCTGAAGCATGGCAAAGGGTACAAGCTGGGTGGGGTGGGGGTGTTTGGTTCTCACATTGCCTGATGTGTATCGAGTCCATTGCAGGCAATGGACAAGGCCAAGAGCCGCAGCACAAAATTAACCTTTATAAACCTCACAAAACTATGAGGCAGACGCCTTGTAAAATAAACTTTGAGCTATTTGAATGACCTGTGTGGTGGCCCATGTTTTGTTTCTGGGTCCCGTACGAGCCGGACCATCAGGACTTGAGTCCAGTTGCATCTTGTACTTTCTTTTTGTTGCGTCCGTCACCCAATACATGGCTCTTTTAAAATTTGAGAAATTAGCTGTCCTCTGCATTTGCAAAAGAAAACTGGGAGGGGGGTTAACACTTTTCCCTGTCTTGCTGTTTTCTCTTGCAAAAGCCACCCTTGAACCATATGCCTTCTTTTCGGCAGCTGTTCAAACGACAATGGTGGGAAAGAGTTAAAGCTCCCATCTCCCCATCCTCTCCTCCCTCTGCAGCTGCAGCTTCTGGGGCAGACTTTTCAGATTAAACATATTCTTGAAAGAAATCATTCTGACCCCAGGCAGCAGATGTACCAGTTAATCAGTGGAATCATCACAAAGTTGCTGCTCTGACTACCTTGTTCTCTCTGCTGCTTGGGGGTGGGAGTGTGTGTGCATAGGGAAAACAACCTAAACCTTAAATAGCCTAGAACAAACCAAACCTAAAACCACCTAACCCATACAGTCTGGGCTCTCTGAAATGCACACAACTGGACTGCATCCCCAACTGAGTCTGCTTTCTCAGAACTTAAAGGCACATGGAGTTTACTGGGATTTGTTCCCTAAATATTGGTATTCAAGGTTTTAGCTGTCGCCTTTCCCCAGAACTCAAGGGACCTAATTTAGGGGTGATGCAGAACTCATAAGGCATCTTTTTTAAAAATTCATTTCAAAATTACAAAAAAAAGCAGCTAAGTACCACCAAAGAAAAGACTCCAGAAAGTGTGCTGAATGCCAAGCTGGCTCTAGGGTTTATAAAATCAAGCAGAGTTTTGATGAATGTCTGAGGCCCCGACAGGTAGCAGGGCCTTTCCTTATCTCTGAGTCCTTGGGCTCTGGTACCACAATAATGGGGACAGTCTCCATGGCCCTTTTCTTCTGTACTCTGTGCAAAATAATCCTGTAGATCCCTGTGATTGCACTGTGAGAATCTCTCCCGCGGTTATTTTGAATGTGCTCCTCTGTGATTCCCAGCTTGTTCAGGATGTTTTTCACCTCTGCCTCTTCCTCTCGGAGCACTCCAGTCTCTGACAAGTGCTTTGGGTCTAGTTTAAAGGGCTCCAGGGGCTTTGGATGCTGCACGCCCCTCATCCACTCACTGTTCATCATATGCTCGATGGGATAGCGTTCCGACGGGACCGGCTGAAGAATCCCCCGGATCAGCTTCTGGCAAAGTTCCGACAGGAATGGTGGGAAGACGTACGTCCCCTCGAGAATGCACTTTTTCAGTTTGGCCACAGTTTCTGCTCGGAAGGGCATCATGCCGGTTGTGATGAAATACAGGAGGATTCCCAGGGCCCAGAGGTCCACGTAAACACCCGTGTAGCTTACGTCCCTGAAGAGCTCTGGGGCAGCGTAAGGAGGAGAGCCGCAGAAAGTGTCCAGCATTTCCCCCTTTTTACTCACAGTGCTGAATCCAAAATCTCCCACTTTCACGCAAGTGTTGCTGGTGTAAAACACGTTTTCGGCTTTGAGGTCCCGGTGGATGATGTTGCTCTCATGCTGCAAGGCAAAAAACTCAAAGGTCATTGGTACTGGAACAGAAAGCAATTTTTCTTTCTTTCTCTATTCATGGTGTACATACCCGTAAGCCTTTACAGAGAAGAAAGGGCCAACTTTCCTTCCACCTATCCCCACTCTTTGCTTCCACTCATGCCAATACTCCCTCCAAATGCTGCTTTTCAGAAGTGCCTTTTCTGAACCCCCCTAACCACTGAACTTTTGGGGCATATCTATGCTCGAAGCGGGGTGGTGGTAGAGCATCTAGTCCCCAGGTTCAATTCCCAGGATTTCCAGTTGGAAGGACGAAGTAGTAGGTGATGTGAAAGACTTCTACCAGACAACCTGGAGAGCCACGTCCAGTCTGAGTAGACCATGCTGACGTTTATGGACCAGGGGGTCTGATTCAGTATAAAGGCAGCTTCACACGTTATTATGAGAGGCACTGTGGTATGGCACAACTTGGGGTACATTCTCACTCCCATGCTGGGGCCTAAAGCTACTTTGCAGGGCCATATTTTATCAGGGAAATGGAGGAGAGAAAGAGGTACATAGCCTCTTACGCTGAGAAATGGTTCTTATCCTGAAACTGCCTTTTGGAGCCAAGTTGAACACACATGGAGCTATCTCATATTGATTTACCATTAGTCTGTAAAGGTCAGTATGTACTCTGACCAGCAGTGGCTCTCGGATCCAAAAGAGAGCGGCCTTTCACATCACCTACAACCTGATGACAGACAGTGCCGGAGACTGAATCAGAGACCTCCTGCAGCCGAAGCAGATGCTGTACCACTGTGCCACATCTGGAATACCACCAACCCCTATACACACAACCAGACTAATAATACGTTCTAGCTCACTACTGCATGAACACTGATTTACATTTGCAATCTTGTGAGGCAATTAAGATTTGGTAACCCTCCTGCCTCTGATTGGCCTTCCAGTTCAGCATTCTCCATGTTGCTTAAAGTCCAGTTGTAGGGATAATGTTTATTTACTTTTAAATGTGTACTTGATTTTTCCCCTTGCATCACTTAAGACCCCTTTGCTACACTGGAGTGAGTTTTCTGTGGCGCAGTCCCACGTGGCCCAAGTACATACAAAAGAAACAACTGCTTTGTCTGCAGACTGGGTTTCTGGGTGTTGAGGGTCCAAACATATGTAACAGAGATGACAGTTCTCTATTAAACTGCAAAGAGGTAAAACGGCAAGTGTGCATGGAGCAGATCAGGGCCACACAGGGAGGAGACAGAATGTTTTAACTTTTGAAGCCCTGGATGGCTTTGCTGGGGCCCCTCTGAGTATAAAAGATACCAACCTCTCTTCCTTTGAGGTACTAACAGCAGCATTGAGGGAGCACTTTTGATTAGCAGGAGTTGAGGAGGTAAACCCCTTCCCACAAGACAAGGCCTTGATTTCTGGCCCCGTGAGTGGACCTCCTGATGGCACCAGCATTTCGGCCACTGTGTGACACAGAGTGTTAAGACTAGATGGGTCATTGGCCTGACCCAAACATGGCTTCTCTTACGTTCTTATGGCACGCCTGATTGCAATTTGTTTTTTACAGCTGAATGGAGATCCGCGATCCTTTGTCATGTCTATTTGAATGTCATCACTCATGTACAGGAGAAGCAACGATAGGCCAGAGAAGACACCAGAAAACCCCACGACTTCACTCTTGCAGTGATATGCTAGCAGCATGATCATTCCAAGCCCACGCCCCATTCCATTTCACAAACAATCATCAAAGTGCAGCCGTTCGGGATCAGACCAATGGCCCATCTCATTCCACATCCAGTTCTACACAGTGGGCAACCAGATGCTCCTAGAAGGCCACAAGCAAAGCATAGAGGCCCAAGCTCCTCACTGTTGTTGCTCTCCAACCCCCCCCCCCCGGCACTAGTATTCAAAGGGTTATTTCCTTTGAACATGAAGGTTCCACTCAGTCATTCCAGCTAAAAGCCCCTTATTTTATGTTTACTAAAATTCATGTTCCATGAATTTTTTAAAAGCCAACTTAAAGGCAGCTGTGATAATAGGCCATGCCATTTCCAGCTCAGCTTGCTGCCCGCTGTGGGCAATTTTTAAAAAATAATTTAAAAAAAAAAATGCAATTGTGCCGCAAAAATAGCCTGTAGTTGTCGTCACATTGCTAGGGATTTGGGCTTATAACAACCCTGTGACGGAGTCCTGCGTTGCAAGTGGAGGGAATGCGGTAAGGCAGCATGTGGTTTACAGAAGTGAATAGCTTTCAGGCACATGCTTTTGGGTCTAAATGCCGTTGAGCCCTGGCTTAAATGACCCCTACACACATACAGCTGGACTCGAGCAGGAAAGCTACACATATGAATCAGCCTCGCATTCCATTATTTTGAACCGAAGAGAAAACACAAGGAAATTGGGGGGGGGGGGGGGCACATTCATTGGACTCGGAAATGAACTTACCATGTGTTTAACAGCAGATATGATCTGGGAGAAGATGAGCTTGCTCTCTAATTCGGGCAACTTCCCTTCGGTTGTGATCTTAGTAAAGAGTTCTCCTCCGCTGGCATATTCCATCACCAGGTGTAGTTTGGAGAAAGTCTCCATCACCTCATACAGCCGGATGATATTTGGGTGGTGCAGCTTCTCCATGCTTGAAATCTCACGGGACAGCAATCGCTGAGTCTTCGGATCTAATTTTGTCTTATCCAAAATTTTGATAGCTACCTTATCTGGAAAGTTGAAAGGTGTTATTTTTTGTTATTATCAAGTACAACAGATTTCATACTTTTAAAAACGCCACACCTCGAACTTACAAAGGTGATGTATACATTGCTTTGTCAAGTCCAGCACTGCCTGTTCAGAGTGGTAGCACCTGAAATGCTCTTAGATGCTGGGGCTTAAACCTGGGACCTTGGGCAGGCAAAACATGCGCTCTGCCACTGAACTACAGGTCTCCCCGTCTCCGTTTTCACTGTCAGCTTTTAGAGAAAGAATAGAAAGGGAGGTGTTGAATTTAAGACCTATCCAAGTGACAAAAAGCCTGATCAGTCCTTTACCACAGAGTGGTGTATAATTCTCACACTTTGTTCTCTTAGTGTACAACCAGTATACCACTTCTTAGCTGATGGAGAAGTTGGGGGTGTGCCCAGAGCGGCATATATTTCAAGATGTTGTGGTAGCCATTAGCTCATATGGGTCTGAGAGGGAATTTAATGGTTTAATAATATGGTTGATAGAACCACCAAGCCAAGATGGCTAAAAGGGGCCTCCATACCCAGAGGTACTATACTTGTACATTCTAGGGCAAAACAGGATAAGACTTTGGCCTTCGTGTCCAGGTTACTGAGCTTTGGAAGGGGCATCAGGTTGACCACCAAGGGAAACAGGATGCTGGACCTGCTCTTATAACATGGCTCCAAGGGTGACAGAAGGAACCCTACTTCAAGTGCATGACTCTTCCTCTGACTAGGTACCCAACTCTGGATCCAACCCACCACTTACTTGCTGAACGTCAAAATTTCTCAACTATTTGCAATCTGAGCATTTTTATTATCTTAGTGTCTATTTTATATAAATGTAGTAAAGTGTGCCAAAGAAGCAAATGTACTTCTGCTTGTGCCCATTATTTGTTTTGAAGGCATGGTGGCCTGAATCAGCTAGGGAATTATCTCCATAAGGCCAAAACTCCCCTGATTCAACAACTCGAAGTCTATGTGTTTCATACAGTACCTTTTAATAAATACAGTAAGCATGCCAGTTGCTGTGATGTAGTGAAGCTTGAGCTAACAGTGGAGCTTATTTGCTAACTAACTGGTTTGAGTGGCGGAGAATGCTCTTCTTATTCTCTTACTAGTAATAAGTCCCGTTGTGGAAATAAATACAACGAGCTCTAAAAAGAGGTTCTGGGCGGATGCCCTGGTCTTGGGCACTCAGTGACAATTTGCTGTGGTGACCTCAGCAGTGTAAAATGGCACAGAGTCCATCATTTTCTCCAGGGGAACTGATCTCTGCCATCTGAAGAGCAGCTGTAATTCTGAGTGATCTCCAGCCCTCACCTGGAGATTGGCAGCTGTAGTTCCCCAGGAGGAAATGGCTGTTTGAGGTCCCACCCCTCCTCAAACCCCACCCTCTCCAGGCTCCAAACCTCAAATCTCCAGGAATTTCCCAACCTGGAGTTGGCAACCCTATCTTTTTCCCCAGCCAACCATCAACCTGTTATATTCACCCCTCTGATTTCAGCTTTCCATCTCCTCTCCCCTTCCTCCTGGAGAGCAGTTGTAATTCTGAGTGATCTCCAGCCCTCCCCTGGAAATTGACAACAATGGTTCCCCATGAGGGAATGGCTGGCTTGGAGGGTGGAGTCTATGGCATCGCACCTGTCTGAGGTCCCACCCCTCCTCAAACCCCACCCTCTCCAGGCTCCAAACCTCAAATCTCCAGGAATTTCCCAACCTGGAGTTGGCAACCCTATCTTTTTCCCCAGCCAACCATCAACCTGTTATATTCACCCCTCTGATTTCAGCGTTCCATCTCCTCTCCCCTTCCTCCTGGAGAGCAGTTGTAATTCTGAGTGATCTCCAGCCCTCCCCTGGAAATTGACAACAATGGTTCCCCATGAGGGAATGGCTGGCTTGGAGGGTGGAGTCTATGGCATCGCACCTGTCTGAGGTCCCACCCCTCCTCAAACCCCACCCTCTCCAGGCTCCAAACCTCAAATCTCCAGGAATTTCCCAACCTGGAGCTGGCAACCCTAGTCAGGACTGGCCCCAATGAGTTCCCCACAAAGGCCTGGAAAGGGCCTCCTGGCTTTGCCTTTTTACTGACAGAACCAAGCTTGGTTGCCTAGCAACAGTCACTGAGGGAAAAGTTAACCCCACAGGAGCCAAGCAGGAGAAGTGTCTTTGTCAGGAGAGACAGCTGTTTTGGCAGTTATTCTTACAGGGAACAGTGGGTGAGCGGCAGTGGGCGAGGAAGAGGAGCAGACCCAGCCCCCAGCCAATGGCATGCGATTCAGGCCCGTAGCACGCATGGGGCCCACGGGGCCCACCCCCCCTGCGGGTTTTGTGGGCCCCCTCCCCGATCCTCTGCTCCCCCCTCCCCCGGGCCTGAAGACGACTGCTGGCGGCGCTGGAGGCCGAGGCAGCATCAGGGGAGCTTGAGGTGCGCGGCGGCCTCCCCTCCCTCCTCCTCCCCCTCCCCTTCCTTGCGGCTGCGAGAGGCGCCCGGGACGAGGGTCTCGCCCGACCCTCGGCATCCGCCCGCAGAGGGAAGCGCCGCCGGCAGCGGTCGCCAGGGGGCGCCGCGCTGCCCACTTCCCCAGCCGCGGTGGGTGCGGGCCCGCGAGCCCCCGGGAGACTCCAGCGGTGTCCCTTGTTGCTCTGCTCCCCGCCTTTACGCGCCTGTCCGTCGCCGTTGAGAAGCCACCGAGGTGGCTCTTTTGAAGAAGAGGCAAGGAGCGGAAAGAAGGGGCGGGGGAAGCAGTCAGGCGTCTCTCTCTCTCTGTGGGGCTTGTTCGCAGCAGCAACGTGGCTAGATAAAGGCTGGAAGCTGCCGCCGAGCGAAGCTTTATTGGGGTGATGTGTGTGCGCAGCGCGCGCGCGCCCACCATTCGGCCTCCCTACTTTCCCCAAGGCCCTCCCACAAGGAAGACGTTAGCTACGGCCCTGATGCGATTACTCTTGAGTGGTGGCTGATGGGCCAATGGCTGATGGAGCGCACAGCACAGCCAATGGGAGAGCTGGAAATTCCCAACGCATTTGGAGAATTATATATACAATATAAGATTTTGGAACATTATACATTTGGCACGAACTGAATTTCAGAGACCTGAAAAGTGCCAATGTTGCTAGTATCGAACCATGCTGTCCTGTTATGCAAAGCCCTCTTTAAACTTTGGCATCACTTAGTAATTCATAGAAACATTGCTGAGAGGCAAACACCTGAGTCAAAAACCAAACACTGCTGTGTTTGAACCAGTCTAGAAAAGTGGTCCTCATATCATGGGTTGAGCCTCACAGGTGGGTCACAGAAGCCCTCCTGCTTGGTTGCAAAACCTAATTCAGCTGCCATTGTTTCTATGATGCCTTTCAGAAGTGCCTTCTGCCTAGAGTGGGGTTGCCAACTCTAGGGTGGAAAATACCTGGAAATTTCAGGGGTGGAGCCTGAGGGGAGAGGAGTCTGAGGAGGGACAGGACCTCAGTAGGGTGTAATGCCATACAGCCCACCCTCCAAACCCACCATTTTATCTGGGTGAACTAATCTCTGTCACCTGGAGATCAGTTTTAATTCTGGGAGATCTCCAGGCTCCACCTGGAGGTTGGTAACCCTACAAGAGAGGGAGGGTGCCAAGCCTTCTGCCTGTCTTTGAATCGTGAGAAAAGCGGTAGAGAGGGTTTCTCCATGGCTCTGACCCCTGGCTTGTTTCTCACTGTGATTCACCTCTCAGTGTGGGCTTGTATTTCCGGTCCCCAGCTCTTTTGATCCCTGGTCGTGGCATAAACAACTGGCTCCCCCTCTTCCTGTCACATAGCTCTGTTACGGAACTTCCTGCCACATGCTTGCAATGTAGAAGTTCTCATGCTCAGTGGATCCTGGGTCTGGAGAGTCTGAAGACCACTGAACTAGAATGTACTTTGGGAGCGGGTGGCCTTTAAAATCCCCCTCAGCTACGTGAACACCGATCCCATGCAGGCAGGTGAACATCTTTATTATTTGAAATCAAAAAGCACAGTGAAGTTACAAGACAAGCTAAATAATTGGTTACAAAAGACAGTGGTAATTTGAGTAATAATCCTCTGATTGACCAGATATAAAGAAACATATATCTACGTCAAATCCAGAGGTCATTTCGGGGGGGATCGCGGGGGATCGCAGTTTCCCCGGGTGAGGTACGGGGGGGCACATGACGAAGCCCCGCCCCCCGCTTCCGGCCACCCCGCTTCCGGCCCTCATTCAGCCAGGAGGAGGCAGGAGAAGAGGGAGGGTAAGTTGCTTCCTCCCTGCCTCTCCCCACCCCTGCCTGCCTGGGGCCAGGGAGGGCCTTCACAGGGCTTCCTTGCACTCCCGCCGGCCTTGCAGGTCCACCGCCGGGCCCCTCATGGGGCTCGGTAGTGGAGCTGCAAGGCCGGCGCCGGCGGCCAGGACCATTGGGGGCGGGGTGTGTGGCCTTATGACACACTTCTGGTGATGTCAGGGGGTGTGGCCTTATGACACACTTCCGGTGATGTCAGGGGGTGTGGCATATGCTAATGAGTTATGCTAATGAGTTCCCCTAGCTCTTTTTCTACGAAACAACCCCTGGTCAAATCTATGTAAAACCTAAGTGTTTATTTAACCTAACCTAAATGATAATGGGCAAGGATTCTTCATATCCTAAACAAAAGTATTCATTACTGATACGAGACTAAAATCTTATCTGACCCAGACATTGCAAGGTTTTGCCCTAAGAACTACAGAATCATGAACTTTGTACCTCTTATGTTGTCTGCTAACAATATCAGACCTACAAGAGGAAAGCCTTCTCTATAACAGGCCTTTCTAACATCCTAATAAAATATTACTTAAAGAATAAATCTATAAAAACCAGAGAAATATGAATATGAACAATCAAGAAGAAAAAACCCTATATATAAAAATCTTTATATTCCCATTCATATTACAATTGTAAAACGATACATTCATAATGGGTCAAATGTCATTTCCTCCTTATTTCCCTGTACAGTTGATAATA